AAATAATGAAGGCTATTCATTGGCATTAAGAGAGCTGAATCATGAAGGCTACTTACAGAGGTCTTTCAAAGTGGCCCACAGCTAATAGGGACTCAGTTGACATTTCATACTTGCCAAAAGTATGAAGACGCACAAGAGACCAGCACTGACATACAGAATGAATTTGGTAATGGTAAGGTGGCCAGGCAGCAGATATAACCAGTCTTGCCTAATTCCATGTACACTTTTTAAGATATCTCTATGATGGGAATCATGCTAAATGTAGCTGGTCACATTCATCAGGCACAAAGAGCAAAGGCAGCAACACCCAACTTGGTAGCAACCCTCAGTTCTGGTGGGCTACATCGGCTGCCATCTTAAATAGGATTGCACAGCCTCACTTAAAACACCTATGGAACAAGCTCAATTGTACTCAAGTGACAACTGGCAGGCTCCCTGAATGATCACAACTTGGGGAAGCTCATGTGGGGTATGTGGGGTGGATTGGATCTAGGAATCTTCAACATGGGACTCTAGATATTCAGAAAAATCTTTGGATTGATTGCACAGCACTTTTCATGATAAATACACTTGATACTCAGACCTGGCTGTACTGCACAAACCTGCTGTGTGACAGCAGCATGTTAAAACTTCCGTTTGAATTGCACACATGTGCAGTGGCAAAGAGTGGGGACAGGGCGCAAAATTGTCAGCGGCACAAAATTTCAACACCCAGTGCTACCTCAATATAGCTGTGTGCTTCTGTTGCTGGGGTCCATTGAAAACATCTTCTCCACGTGAAACCAGGAAGTGAAATTTCTAGACAATGGAACAACTCTTCTTTTCTTATATCTGCGGCTACGATCTCCTGGGTGACGCAGGTGCCATTAGGCAGCTAAATGCACATGCGTTCTCTGTCTGTTTCCCTCCCACTCACCCCACCCGGGCACTGGCAACCCTAGCTATGCCACTGCCTGTGTGGCAATGTTTTTGCATTCTTTCCTGATGACTGTCCTTGAGCTTGGTCCTGTCTATCTGTGACCATGCACAATTCTCACGTTAAGCAGAATTACACGAATACACAGCAATTGTGCTAATGTTGGCACACTTGTACCTTTTGGGAAGTCACAGGCTGCAACCCTCACTGTAATCCTTATTCACTGTAGCTCTGTCTTACCCCATAGCCATATATACTTGTGCTTCTACTTCACACAAGAGTATGGGAGGTGCCATAGCTCAATGATAAAACACATTCTATCATGTGGACGGTCTCATGTTCAATCTCTGGCATATCCTGCTAAAATTATCTGGTAGCAGGTAACATGGCAGACAGCTTGCAGAGTCCCAGCCAGGTGGTCAGAGCAGATGATACTTGGGTAGATGGACAAAAGGTATGACATGTTTTAAGGTAGCTTCCCATGGTCTTTGCTCATACCACAAGCACATGGAGAAAGGGATCATATGAAGGGGATTCTATGTTGATGCTACTGCAAGGATGACATGCTTCTTAGAGGCAGCCAAGATGCAAGCTGTTACTTTAATACAGAAAAGTATCCTAGGGATTTATTGCCAATTGAATTACAGAAGCAACAGTAACATGTCACTTAGAATAAAGAGAAAAAAGGGGAAGAATAATTTAAAAGCAAATGTGTTGCCAAGTTTATCCAATCGGAAGTATGATAGGTGCTCCTTAAGCATTTTAATCTCTTTTTATTGCCATTATAATAATTACTGTAGTCTTTGTGGAATGAGAATACATCATTACAGGAAAGAGTGATATGTTACTAAGACAATAAAACATTGCTGCCCCATAAGACCAGATCCCTAGTTAATGGGTGAACCATTTTATTATTGATTGAAAAAGAGGAACAGTTAGGTTACTGTCTCCAAGTTATATCGAACCAAAGCAAACTTAAAGCTGCCTTGAGTTTGATTTTATCATCAAAAAGTGGGAGGTGAATTCCCAGATAAATACCTTTTGCATTCACTGTCTGCTATGAAATGTGAAAAGCCTACTGCAACCAGAATCCAAATCAATTTTTGAACAGCTTTCTAATACACCCGGTGGTTCTTTTCAACATGATTAACAAATGTATATGCAATCGACCAGCACTTGGCATTTAATTAAACGTTAAGAACTGCATGCTGAGTTTCAATGAACAATTTGGAATTGAATTGTCAAGTCTTGCCATTTGAGACTGAAATACAGTACTAATTGCACTTTGCTGAAGGTAAGCCTGCTATTATTTCTAATAACTGGCCCACTGGCCAGAATTTTTCAGATACCTGAATACTGTGGTGAACAGTGTTTCCCCAGAATATAGTACACTTAACAAAAAAAGAAAAAAAGGAAGGAACAGGAATACAATGAGCAAGGTGATTAACTACATCCGTTAGAACACTTCCCTGTGTACCCTATGTACCTCACTTCCGTTATAATAGCTTGTAAACCATAAATATAATTTTGATTTGGATTTTTTTGTTGAATATTGTCACTCAGGGACTCTTCATGCCACCTATCTCAATCTCCAAAGGGCCAGGCAGTTCTAATAAAGCATGACGTTATTTATTTGAATGTATAGCATGTTTCCTCCTTAAAGGAAACATATAAACAATACATAGGAAGTTGTCTTGTGCCCAGTCAAGACCATTGGTTCATCTAGGTCAGCACTGTTTAACCAGTCTGGCAATAGCTCCCCAGGGTTTCAGACAGGAGTCTCCCCCAGTCCTACTTAGATCAATTCAGGGATTGAATCTGGGATCTTCTACATGCAAGGCATGTGTTTGACTATTAGTCCTACAAAAATAAAAAATATAAAAATAAACATAACATATTTTTTAAATCCCACGAATTTTGTTTTAAAAAAAAACCAAGCAAAACTGCTTACCAAATGCTGAAAATAAAATCCTTCAACAGCTCGAATCCAATGTCCAAAATCCAGTCCATACAGAAATGTCTTACAATACTTCTAAAATGGTGGCAAGGTTTAATTACATGTGGTCCTGAGTGATTTTAGAGATTGCAAGGCACTCTGGGTAGCTCAGTCAGTAGAGCACGAGACTCTTAATCTCAGGGTTGTGGGTTCGAGCCCCGTGTTGGGGGAAAGATCCCTGCATTGCGGGGGGTTAGACTAGATGACACTCGTGGTCCCTTCTAACTCTATGTTTCTATGGACAAAGGCTTATCTTCTAAGCAGTGGTGGTACATGTGGTGTTATGAAGCTATGGAGTCAAGCTGGCAACCAAGTTGTTCTTGGATGGGGCTGGTGAGGTTGAAGTCACATGAGTGCACTGTCTGGACCACTGGATCAGCTGGTGGTAGCCCTGCTGGCGCAAACATGTTGCCCTGTTGACACCCTACCCAAGCGTGAAGCAGCAAGACCAGTGCTGGGAGGGCAACTCCACAACACCCACCTCTACTGCCTTTAAGCATGTCTGAGACTCCAGGCACTCTTCCCCATATCATTCATGGACCACTGTTCTCCCCAAGCCCTAGATTCTTATCCTCAGAGCTCAAAATCTCCTTGCTATTCTTAAGCAGAGAAAGTACATTTTGGATCCCAGAATGCCTATCGCTTTGGCACCCCAAATATCAGAAGTTGCATGTGAAGTGAGGATAAACCTTGGAAGCTTTAGGTATATGATGCAATCCACTTTGACTAATTTTTTCCTAGTGCATCACCACGCTATTGACATATATAAGAAAGGCCTGCTTCCTCAATGTCTTAGCATAAGTTGTTTTTTCTGGGAACGTGCTGTCCTTTTCAGGATGAGAACCTACATTCACAGCTAAGATGGGCACAGTCAGTGTTAAGGGATACCCAAACCCAACTCTCTGTTCAAAGAGAAGGCAGGCTTTCTGGCACGGCCACTATCATTAAATATGGAGGCACAGAATTCTACTAAGGCCTTGCCCAAAGTGTGAAGCAGAATTCAATGTAAAGCCCATTTGAAGGAAATTAAAACTTCAGATGTCCTCAGTGTCTTTCAGTGTCTTACTGCTTCAGGGCAGTAAGGACACCTGGGCTGAACATGAACTACGCCTTGGTACTTCTAATGCAAAACCTTGTTGTTGACCCATACCCAACTGGGCTGTGGAACACAAAAACCAAATCCAGTGGCGTTAGAGGGGTGGGGAGAAAACCCTCCACAAATAAAGCCAATAAAATATATCCAGTCATATAAAAAAGCTAAAACTGGGCCAATCTTTTTTATATATATAAAAAATCAGCTCCAGTCCTTTGGTTTCACAAGAGAGGCATTGGGAAGTCACTCCTGGAGTGCTCTCAAAAGCTGAGTGGCCAAAACCCCTAAAGGAATGTAACACAGAAGCAGTTCTTAAATAGTTCACTGAGATTTTCAAGGTAATTGAATATCCTCGTTCCTAGATGAGCTCGAGGCTGCAGCCTCTCACCCGTGGCTGTGCGTGCAAAACTACACATTATGTCTAGTTCCTGAAGTCTTTTCTCTGAAGGCTCTTTTATTATCAGGTAAAACCTCTGATAAAAGATGGAACATGGGACTGGTGAGGGGAAGGGGTGGAGGGGAAGGGGCTGCTTAACTCTTTCTTTCCCAGACATTGATTTAAAAAGTACAGAGGCCTTTTATATCTTTGAGGAGAAAAGTAGTTTGGGGGAGAGCAACTTTGAGTGAACAAGCAGCCGGGAAGTAAATGGTTAAACAAGCATGAACACCCACCTTCTGCTTTACCTGATTAAAAAAGAGAGAGAAGGGAGGGGAGAGGAGTCATGAAACTACATATAACATAAAGTTCACCCTTAGACTTTAGGGTTTCCATCTTGGAAGGAAATACACAAATTCCTTGTGTGGGGAAAACTATGCTATGGCCCCATGAAATGGATTTCCCATACCCCTGAAACTTAAAATAAACCGCACATGGAAATTTCAACTTTAAGGAAGAAGCAAAAAAAGGGAAAGAAGAGGCTTAGGGAAAAGGAAAGCTATGGAAAAAATATGGCAAAGTAGCAACAAGTTTAGGAGTATATTGACAATCCCTTTACCTGATGCTGTTACCAGTAGGCTGTCTGAATCACATGGTCTACAGGATGAAGCACTAACAGGGTTTATGGAGGAGCTACAGGCAATGGTGGTGGGAATGACAAAGGAACTTTCTGAACATGCAGGTTGGTTCAGTCCAGGGGATTGGGGAGGCCAGGCACCCACCTGAGACGTGGCCATGGCTGGTATGGCACAGCCTGCAGATGCCACAGATATATCTAGTGTTGGTTTTGGTGGCAGCTGAGGTGAGGACTTAGAAATGACCTCCTCATTTATTACCCTGATTCCTTGAGGTGAACTGGAAGGAGGTGAGACTAGGGTTTTGCTGTCAGTTTTGGCACCTATATTAGGGGCGCGACCACTATCCATAAGGACTTTAAGCTGTGGGTGCGGTGGAGATGGAGTCTGTGAAAGGCCTGGCTTTTTGGGAGGAATGGGCGGAGGGTTTCCTCTGTCAATCCTCGACACACTGGGAGTCTTTAAACCCATTCTACCGACTGGGGGAGGATACGTGCCAACGTCTATCGAATGTGACATTCCCGGCCGTCCAGGCGGAGCGCCCTGAGGACTTGTGAATCTTGACAGGACCTGGGTGACGGTATTCCGAGCTAGCTGCTTGGCAACTAGGTTGTCTCGACTCGTGGGCGACACGTCTCTCGACGGAGGGCTTTGGGTAGTGTTTCCGTTTTGGTCTTGGTCGTTAGCATTGGTTTGAAATCTAAACCTAGCTGCCTGGACGCGTGGATTCAGACCTTGATGCCCGGTACTGCCGGCGGATGGAGAATGCAGAGAGTGCATAGACGACGCTTGCAGGTAGCTCTGAGGTGCTATACTGGGTGCTGGAGAGGGTGCAATGTTATTTGGGAAGGGGGAAGGTAGATTGGTTAAGTCAGGCGTTGCATTTGGTCCGTTCTCCTCAATTCTGCTTTGGCCTTGAGTCAGAATGGGAGTTGAGGGGGACAGGAGCAGGTCATTACAAGAAGAATGCCTGTCCATGACTGGCTTCACAAAGCCTGCATTGGAGCATACATTCATCTTTGTGTGGCCAGAGAGCAAAGGGTTGACAGCTGAAGGCTTTACCGGAACAGTTAAAGGCAACTTCCTAACACTTTCGGTTCCACCATCTAGCAACGCCGCGTCTGTCTGGCAGGCAAGCGTTCTCAAAGCCGGTCCCTCTGTTCCGACAGATACAGAAGCGGAACCTCTATCTTTGTTCTTACGCGGGAGGGAAAGGTGCAACTTACTGTCGTTCTCCTTTTTCAGCTGCTCAATCATTTTTCTCATCCTCTCCCTCTCTTCTCGGAGGTCATAGGTGTGTGCTTCCTCTCTGCCAAGCCTGGCGTGCAGTTGCTCCCTTTCGGTGTCGAAGTCAGAAAGCTGCTTTTCCATTTGGGCTTCCATCTGCGCACTCCGCTGCTTCTCAACAGCAAGAGATTCCTCCAATTCGCCGGCTTTCTTCTTTTCTTCCTCGAATTTTGCCATGACATCTTCCAGCTTCTGGGCCTCTTCGACTATTCGACTGGAGAGCTGTTTACATTCTTTCACTAGCATCAATACGACTTGTTTATTCTTGCCACGCTCCTCCTCAAGACGAGCACATAGTTTCTTATGTTCCATTTCGAGCTCTTGCAACTGCGATTTCTCCATTTCCAGCTACAAAGAAATGCAGAACAATATTCTCATTATCATAAGGGTTGGGCTTTCCTTTTTTTTTTTTTTTTAGTCTAAGGTAACAGAAATCAGTTGTATTTTATGTTATTAAAACGATAAAAAACTATCTTTAATGGGACCTGAATTAGACATTTTCTGGGCTAAGTTATTTGAGCCAAAATGTTGCTAAGTCTCTGTTTTCCAAACAGGTTAAATGAAAACTAAACTCACATTTCGTTGTCTTGATTTTACAGGAAAATACAAACTGCTCACTTCTTGTTTATTGTTAATGGGAACAACTACTTTGTTTCGGCAAATATTAAAACTATGCTTTTCACAATTGACATAGTGTCAATGGACTCATCTGCAGTATATACACCCAAAGCAGTATGATGTAACTTCAAACAGTCATGGCTTCCCTCAAAGAATACTAAAAAGTCTAATTTGTGTAGTAGTAAGGGAGCTGACCCTATTTCCCCTCACAAAGCTACTATTCCCAGAGTTCCCTGGGAAAAGGGATTGACTATTAAACTTATATGTGTGATTGGTGGGTGCCAATCATCAGGGTACTTAATTCCGGAGGTTCGTTCTTAACCTGAAACTGTTCTTATCCTGAGGTACCACTTTGGCTAATGGGGCCTCCCACTGCTGCCGCGCCACCAGAGCACAATTTCTGTTCTCATCCTGAAGCAAAGTTTCTTAACCCAAGGTACTATTTCTGGGTAAGCGGAGTCTGTAACCTGAAGCGTATGTAACCTGAAGCGTATGTAACCCGAGGCACCACTATACAATTCAAGAACATGTTAGTTGCATGTAATAATCAGTGTAATGAAATGTGATCTTCATTCTGACCACAGGCGTCCCCTCTCCCCCAACCCCCCCCCCTTATAAAATAATTGCACGCAGGGTTAGTCTGTAAGCTGATAAGAGAAAGCAGATAAAATGGTTGCAGTCCAGCATTTGTGATTACTACAGAGGCGGGGAGGGTTTTACATTCCTCTAGATGCTAAAATCATACTAATTTCAGAGTTGTAAGAAGATACTGTATGGTGAGTATATTTCATGTACGCTGTAATCTGGGGAACCAGATGGCCCAGAGGATTGGTAACAGGAGATGGAGCATTTCATCTCTAGGTCAGTGGTTCAATTTTGGCTTTGGTTGCTAGCGAAAGGAAAGTCATTACGAACTGGTGACTTCTGAGTGGCCTGCTGTTCACCAATAGGATTCTGTGTCCTCCCTCCAGCACGGAGGAAAACTGATAGTCTGTTGGACAGCTCCTCCAAAGAATGTTGTTGTTATTTGCCTACACTCCCTTTTTCTAATAAGACAGCTTCTGTTTTGTTTCTTCGAAAACTTTATAAACAAGGGATTAACAGCAGCTTTGCTGTCCTCCCCACCCACTCTGAATAATACGTCTTTTATGCTTAGCATAAGTAAAACAGGAATCACTCTGAAAGTGAAGCAGCAAGGGAATAATATTGCATATCCAAAAGGGGGGGGAAGCTAACTCTACAGACTGCCTGGTGCTTGAAAAACAAGAAAACATTTGCTAAAATTCCAGGGATTTATACTTCAACAAAAGTTAGCTATCATGATGGCATGTTGGATCTGCAATCTTAAAACTTCATAAACCGTATTTTTTTGCTCTATAAGACTCACTTTTTCCCTCCTAAAAAGTAAAGGGAAATGTGTGTGTGTCTTATGGAGCGAATGCAGGCTGTGCAGCTATCACAGAAGCCAGAACAGCAAGAGGGATTGCTGCTTTCACTGCGCAGTGATCCCTCTTGGTGTTCTGGCTTCTGAGATTCAGAAATTTTTTTTCCTCCTCCAAAAACTAGGTGCGTCTTGTGGTCTGGTGCATCTAATAGAGCGAAAAATACGGGTATTTTCTAAGATCTGGGAGGAGAATGGTGTGGCAGGATAAATATTGGAAGAGGATATTTCTGCTTTATATCCAGCAACACACATCCCCCAGAGTCACTGAATTACAGCGTCGATCACTAAATTGTCTTGAATTAGCGACTGGAAAGAGCTAATAGCAAAATACTTTGGATAATGAAGGACAAGCGAGCATGTAAAGCCACATCATGGCGGTTTTCTCAAGCGCACATTCTTGACTAGGCCTCAAAATATGAGCTGAGTACTTGATTCAGATATGATGCAATATAATGAGAAATGAGATGTGGTTTAGAACCATGTGGATTATCTGCCTTAGCAAACAAGGGGTGCTTTTCAGGGGAAGAACTCCGACTAGCTGGAACTGCTCTGCACATCCACATGGCACATCCATGACAGTGGCCAAGTAACAGTCCCAGGATATGCATTCATTTGTTGCATTTCTGCTCCCACATTCCTCAGGGTGGTTTCTCAAAACAAACAATTCTAATTGCAATCCAAATCACAACAACAACAATAAACTCCTCCATGCAAATTGGAAAGCATTCGCACTGTCAGGATATTTTCCAGAACCGCAGAAGAACCCAGCCTTCTTTTAAACATTAATTAAGTATAATGCTAGGTGAGAGCCAGTGTGGTGTAGTGGTTAAGGGCGGTAGTCTCGTAATCTGGGTAACCGGGTTCGCGTCTCCGCTCCTCCACATGCAGCTGCTGGGTGACCTTGGGCCAGTCACACTTCTTTGAAGTCTCTCAGCCCCACTCACCCCACAGAGTGTTTGTTGTGGGGGAGGAAGGGAAAGGAGAGTGGTAGCCGCTTTGAGACTCCTTAAAGGGAGTGAAAGGCGGGATATCAAATCCAAACTCTTCTTCTTTAAAAGAAAAAGAGGGAAAAAAGTATAATGCTAGGTGATGGAAAACACATTTGGCAATATATATATATATATATGTTTCTACCTTGGGTATGCTAATCCATGTTAAGCATATACAATTTTCACATTATAATTCCTTCCGCAGATTGTTAAATTGACAAAGTAGTGACTGGGAGGGAAGCAGGGGTGATAAAAATAGAGCAGGTAACTTTTTATTTTTAGTGTTATTTTGATTTGTTTACAAAATAAAGTTAAGATGGGTGAGAGGGGCAGGGAGGCCTTTGCAGTGGTGGGCTAGATAGGCAGTGTGATTTTATCTTGTCTATACCTTTAACTGACTTTTTCAGCTGACTTTTTATTGTATCGTTATTTAAGATTTTATTTTATTTTTTTAAAAAATATATATATGGATTAGTGGCATTTTTATACCGGTTTTGTCCCTAAGGATAAGCTGCTCTTTTTTTAATTGGAGAGGAAAAGTAGACTACATGTTTTGAAAGATAAATAAAGCAGATAATGTACGTGGAACTGTTTGGTTTTATGTTGCATTTCTTTTGCTTTATTGTCCCGTTTTCTGTGCACAGTTTTTATGTACACCACTCAGAAATGCAAATAACTAAATAAATAAAACTAGCTAAATGGTTCGTTATCTCCCTTCAACCTCTCCCTACTGTGAATATATTCAAATTCGAAATGATTCCAGATGTGTACATCTCAGATTATGCCATCCGCTCCCTATAGCAGATTCTGCTGAAGGAAGCAGGGTGGGCCGACCCCTCACGTTCCATATGTGCTTTATAAGACATTTGTTTTCTAGATGAGTCAACCTGACTAAACTACCTGCCTTTCTACTTCTTTGCCCCAATACTCTTACGGAACCTGCTCCCAATTTGTTCCTTCATGTCCCAAATTTTCATGTCCATCTAGGCCACTAGATCCCATCTTGCCTACACATACCTTCTGGTTTTCTTGTGCCGCCTATCCATGCTTCCTGTCAACACTGAATCCTATCCCAACATCAAACTGTTTGCCAAACCCAGTCTTAGTTCTCTTAAGCCAGCCTCCCATGGTCAACTGACACTCAGAGGTGCTGCCTTCAGCTCCTGCAAAACTAGACAAAATCTATATGAGTATTCTCTCTCTTATCAGAAGAAACTCATCAGAGCATGGGCACACAGCATAATATCCTCTGGATGTTGCTGGACTACAGCTCCCATCATCTGCCAACCATTAACCATGCTTGTTGGGTCTTAATGTCCCAAAACATCCAAACAGCACCATGTTTGGCTACCCCCGTAACATAGGGTTAAAAAAGAAGTCAAGCCACTTGACCTCCTAGTAATACTGTAATACATCTGTCTCCAAGAGTATGAATCACTGTACGAATCATGTTTATCTTTAATTACTTGGCAAAATGTATGTAAATAAAGTCCAAAGAAGGGTTTGGTTTCAGGTGTCATGCAGTTGATCCAATTACGTCGAGTTGTCAGCCAGCAGCAGCTATATTGGAGATATTGAGCTATTGTTAGTTCTTAGCTTATAGGAAAGGTATACTCTCAGCCACGTTTGGGAAACTAGCAACTTTGCCCCACATTCAGATCTTGTTCTGTTGAGTTGCCATCTGATCAGAGAAACTGCAATTGAGTAATCTTTTGAGTGTTTAGTCAGTTCATCTATCTGTTGGGCAAAAATATTATTTCTGCAGTAAAAATAAAGGTTTATTTGGTTTAGATTTAGACACCCACACACGTCAAAATCAGACATAATCTCAACATAGCCACTCCCTACTGGGTGCAAGTGAAGGGAGAACGTCTCTTTTAATTATGGCACTTGCCCTTTGATTTAAAGAAACATTTTTTACATCTGCTACCCAATTAACTGGGTGCACCATTTCAGCTGATTAAATATATCTAATTGCCAAGCAGCCTGCAAGCAACTCCCACGGCTGGTTGCCAGGAACGTACAAAGACAAGGAAAAGTTTCTTACCATCCACTTTTTATTTAATATTCACAGAGAGAGGCTTTGGAAGACAGCCTCTTGGATAATGGTGTTGTCCTGAGCTAATATCCACCCCCCCTTCTCTCCCACTTCCTTATTTGTCATCATCATCATCACCTCCTGTACAGGTGACGCTAAGTGCCCTCTGTCTTCAAGCTCTTTGCTCTCCTATTTTTAAGGCTTGCCGGGTTCTGGGAGATGGTGGGTCTGGAATGCTTTCTAGTGATGTGTCAGCCAGTTGCTGCTCCACTTCTGCCTCTTGCTCCTTTCCCATTATTTCCTAACTTTTCCCCTCATCTGCCTCTGAGCTGTGACCTCCCTCAAACCCCTGTTGTAATTCTGAACTCTCTTCCTCTTCTCTGGACGGGTCAAGCTGGGGAGGCGGTCAATAATAATAATAATAATAATAATAATAATATATATATAATTTATTTATATCCCGCCCTCCCCAGCCAAAGCCAGACTCAGAGCGGCTAACAACAATAAAATAATACAACATTCTAAAATCATTTCATTATAAAATCAGTTCAAATCAAATTAATGGCAACCATTGGGCTAGAGTTCTGTGAGGATTGCCAAAGCAGGGGGACAGGCCAAAGGACTGGTGGAACAGCTCTGTCTTGCAGGCCCTGAGAAAAGACGTCACGTCCTGCGGGGCCCTAGTCTCTTGTGACAGAGCGTTCCACCAGATTGGAGCCACAGCCGAAAAAGCCCTGGCTCTGGTTGAGGCCAGCCTAACCTCCCTGTGGCCCGGGACCAAGATGTTTTTGTTTGAAGACCGTAAGGTCCTTCGTGGGACATACCAGGAGAGGCAATCCCATAGGCACGAGGGTCCTAGGCCATCTAGGGCTTGCTACCATTCCTCCTCTGCCCGGTCCCTGACACTAATCAATTGATCTAAAACAGGAGTACCCTACATAGTGCCCTCCAAATATTTGTTGGATTACAACTCCCCTTTTTCCTGATCATTGGCCATGTAGGCTGGGGCTGATGTGAGCTGTAGTCCACCCAACACTGGGAAGGCACCACATCTGCTACCCATCATCTAACCAATTGATCAATTAAAAGTTGCAGCCCTAGCTGAAGGTTTGCATTTCTTCAGAATGGCCATTCTTTAGCCTCAGGACTGTATCCAGTTGTCATGCTGGGCCTCAGGATGATGAGGACCTGGTTGTCCTGATGACCAAAGACACAGGTAAGCTGACAGAGCCCATGACATCCCTGGTGTTCTGGGAAGGACGTTCCAAAACTGACAAGGGATGCTCTTATTACAGTGGTACCTCGGGTTACATACTCTTCAGGTTACATACGCTTCAAGTTACAGACTCCGCTAACCCAGAAATAGTGCTTCAGGTTAAGAACTTTGCTTCAGGAGAAGAACAGAAATCGTGCTCCAGCGGTGTGGCGGCAGAAGGAGGCCCCATTAGCTCAAGTGTTGCTTCAGGTTAAGAACAGTTTCAGGTTAAGAACAGACCTCTGGAACGAATTAAGTAGTTACCCCGAGGTACCACTGTATTATGTAAAGAGGAATATTCTTCCATTGTAATAATTGAAAACTATCAACCAGAAATGTGTCACTTATGATAAAATACAAATAATACGGCCACTCTAGAATCACACACACACAAAAAAATTGATTTCTAATTTTTTTAAGTCATAAAAATGAGAGGGAATGCATTCTTTTGGAGATGTGGTGAGCAATTAAAAAAAGAGGAAAGAGCAAGTCAAAGGGGGGGGGAAGAGTTGGTGTGGTACCTTCTTTTGTCTGTTTTCAGCAGCGACCAACTGAGCTGCCATTCTCTCTTGCATTTTTCTGCAGTGAGCCATAACAGCTTCTAAGATGGAGAGTGGGTTGGTGCAAATGGACTTCTTGTCTTTATCACCAGCACCTGACTCATAGTCTCGCTGCAGAGCCAGAAATGGGTCACTAAGATTAAATCTCCCATACCGCTCCTGGATAAAGACCTCCTTCCTCCGTGCCTAAACAGAGAGATAAACAAAATGAATCACTAGAGAACAGTTAAATGAAATGCTAACACACACAACAGCGCTATACGTAGAACATCTGGGAAATAAACAGTCACACGTTCAGCAGATTACTTCCGTATTTTTAACAGTACATAAGCCAATGCATTTTGAGAATAGCCATGTTTTATGCCAGCGATCTAAATTAAATCTTATTTCCAAGTAACACCACAAAATAAATAATATATATGTGGCCTTTATATATGCCTGAGACAAATCAATTATTTAAGATTTAGGTTTATTAAGTGCAGTTAATAAGATGTGGCCATTTTAGCTTTCTTCCCATCTCCCAGAGTTCTCTCTTTGCTGCTGCTACACACAACTATATAGGTTATGTAGATGTTTTGTTGCTTGTTACCAAACCTATCATCAGAAACGTGGGAAAAGAACATCATTTGAGAAAGTCAACACAAAAAGTTATCATATGACTGTTATGTTCAAAAATAAAGGATGCTGTGTGTTTTGTTTTTTAGCCCCCTTTCTTTTAAGTAGTTACAAACCCCGTCAAAGTGCTGCAAGTTCCTGAAGGCAATGGTTGCAAAAAGCCTGGATGCTTTGGAGGGAAATGGTCACCTGTCACCTTGTTGTTGTTGTTTAGTCATTTAGTCGTGTCCGACTCTTCGTGACCCCATGGACCAGAGCATGCCAGGCACTCCTGTCTTCCACTGCCTCCCACAGTTTGGTCAAACTCATGCTGGTAGCTTCAAGAACACTGTCCAACCATCTCGTCTTCTGTCGTCCCCTTCTCCTTGTGCCCTCCATCTTTCCTAACATCAGGGTCTTTTCCAGGGAGTCTTCTCTTCTCATGAGGTGGCCAAAGTATTGGAGCCTCAGCTTCAGGATCTGTCCTTCCAGTGAGCACTCGGGGCTGATTTCCTTCAGAATGGATAGGTTTGATCTTCTTGCAGTCCATGGAACTCTCAAGAGTCTCCTCCAGCACCATAATTCAAAAGAATCAATTCTTCGGCGATCAGCCTTCTTAATTTAGGGCTGGCACAAGATATTGCACTGCTGAAACCCCTTTTTTGCATCTCCCTTGTCTCTGCTGTGTCTCTTCTCTTCATTGTGGTGGTGCTTTAGCAACAGCAGCAGGAGCGAAGCCCTCCCTGTCTCACTCTAGAAAGGACCTGGGGAGGGAGGAGGTCCTTCTCGAGTGAGGCATTCTGGGTTGGAAAGTCATGAAAGCACCAGTAGTTTCCTGCGGCAGCTGATCATCCCTAATACAGTGGTACCTCTAGATGCGAACGGGATCCGTTCTGGAGCCCTGTTCGCATCTAGAAGCAAACGTAACCAGCAACGGCATGTCTGCGCGCACGCACGCGTCGCTTTTCGCTGCTTCTACGTATGCCCGTGATGTCATTTTGAGCGTCTGCACACGCGCAAGTGGCGAAACCCAGAAGTAACGCGCTCTGTTACTTCCAGGTTGCCGGGGAGCACATTCCTGAGGTATGACTGTATTGGGGGCGAGTGAAAGTTACAGTAACTTTAAAACCCTCCCCCTAGAGTTGGGCGGCATCTAACCGAAGAATGAATCATGGCTCAAAAATAGAAATGTAGCTTTAAAAAGAAGCCAAATGCTATCATAAATAGCCTCACAAACTGAAGGTAAGAGTGATGATTAAGCGTGAACTCCAAAAGATATTATGGGAAGTGGAAAAGAAGCATTAATTATTTTTGCCTTCTTTCAAGGCCTGAAAAGCAGGTGGCTTCAAAAACAGGCCAAATGATGAGAACTCATCGTTTTAGAAATGTCAGCATGAAGGAAAGGTAGTGCTAAGAGGAAGCAGGCCATTCCATAATTAATTGAGTTCTATTCAGGCATTATCCGACATCAACAACAAGGGTTCCAACAGTGGCTTCCAACCATTGGCCCCATCGCTACCATCATGCCTCTGTCGAACATCTGTACAGCACATCTGTAGAGAGAAGCAAAATCTACGATTGTAGGTTCCTCTGCTATTTCGAACCCTGTTTGAGCTATAATATGAGACTCCACACCGGAGCTCCACTTCTTCAAATTTCTTTTAACTTCTCTTGAGAGACACAGCTCTGGTCAAGATCCATTGATCTACTTCAGGATATTAGAACTCAAAGTGAAATCCCATGCACACTTGCATGGAAATAAATCCAATGGAAGACCATGGGACTCTTGCGATAATTATATTTTGCATTCTTTATTGAAAAATAAAAAATTACAAAATTACAAGTGCACAGAATAAGACACAAAAAAGAAGAAACAAGAAGTAACAACTATGTAGGGGGGAAAAGGAGATATTGTGCACATTACAAAAAAGGTACTTAACTGCTGAGTGAATATGCATAGGATTATGCTTGGGACTTTGTAGGATAAACTCTTGCTAGCCCTGAGAATTCTCCCAGAGCTTGTGGTATCCAGTATTCACTAGGACTTACTAGCATCCAAGACCTACAGCCTGTTGCTACTCATCCTCTGCTACAGACTGCTTTCCACCAGATCTTACCTGGAACCCTACAGGCTATTAGCAGGACAAGAAAAATGGGGATTGTATACCCTGTAGCAACTTTTGGAGTAACCTGGGCAATAAAGATATCCATCTTTCCTGAAAAGCATCTCACATTCACAGCTGGGTGCTACAGTGATAAACCAGAAGCGCAGGAAGTTCTTAATGACCTTCAAGAGAAAATCATGCACTGCTGGCATCTGCGTATAGAAACGAAACTAACACATTTTTACAGCACTCTGCAGATTTCATCACTTAACATATGGTAAAGAGTGTAACGTTTCCTTGATTCTTTTTTAAAGTCACAAGCAAAGAGCACGTTACATTTTTTTTAAAAAATAATTAACAGAGCTTTTGCATGGAGAGAGAAAAGTGCATTCTCCTTTTAAAACGACTCAAACATTCCTCTTTTTTGAATGCCAAGATCCAGACACAGTATTTCCCTTTGAAGCCAACAGACAAGTTTAGAAGGAGTCTGTGGAAGTTTCCTTAAACGTCACCACTACAAATAGCCAAAGGAACATTTTCTAGTGAAAACATGTTGATTTTGTCTTTTTATAGCAATGATACCTTTGGCTGGGCTCTAGAGAAAGCCAGTTTTATATGACTCACAGACACCTGGCGTTTCTAAAATCCAAAACTTTCCTCACCACCCAAGCATGCCAATCCGATCCCCAACATACTTGCCAAGGGCACTGTATGGGAGTGTGACCAGCAGTACAGTATGTCAAAAGGTCATGACATTTATAAGTGCACATGTGCATATTTAGTCTGTATGGACAAACACACACAACGCTGGGCATTTGAGAAGTATTTCAGTCGGGGGCTAAAATACGTATGATTTGGCAACATAAAAGAGAAGCAAAGATCAGCCAAACATAGCACATTTCTCTTAATAATGTTCCTAGACTCGAGGTGTAAACTTCTCACTTCACTCATAATCATAACTGTTTCCTGACCAAGAAGGACTGACTTAAGGCATATTGCTCCCTGAGATGGAGAACCCCCTAGTCCACATATAGTATCCAACCAGACTGGAGACTGAACACACTCAGTGGTGTGTGGTCAGTGGATTTGGGGAACTAGGCTAGCGCCCTAAATGTTCCCCTGGTACCTCCTTCCCAAAGCCCAGGAAGCTTCTGCCCAGCTTAGGGATAGAGTTGCGATGCTCACATGTGCAACGTTGGAACGTCCCCTTCCCCCACTCTGGCCCTAACTGTTCCCTTATGAAAAATTTCACCACATGCCACTGAACAAACTGGTCATGGGACAGTATTCTCTACTGGACCTGGGGGCAGCAGAATAGCTTAGAGAGGACGGGGAATGTTGACAGCCCCCTGTCTCAAGGCATTTGCTACATGGCGCTGCTGCCTTACTCTGCCTGATATGGGGCAAACCCTTGAGACTATGGCAAGGAGTAAGGTAAAGGTAAAGGGACCCCTGACCATTAGGTCCAGTTGTGACCGACTCTGGGGTTGCGGCGCTCATCTCGCTTTATTGGCCGAGGGAGCTGGCGTACAGCTTCCGGGTCATGTGGCCAGCATGACTAAGCCGCTTCTGGTGAACCAGAGCAGCGCACGGAAACGCCATTTACCTTCCTGCTGGAGCGGTACCTATTTATCTACTTGCCCTTTGATGTGCTTTCGAACTGCTAGGTTGGCAGGAGCAGGGACCAAGCAACGGGAGCTCACCCTGTTGTGGGGGTTCGAACTGCCAACCTTCCGATCGGCAAGTCCTAGGCTCTGTGGTTTAACCCACAGCGCCACCCACGTCCCAGGAGCAAGGTAAGATCTCTTAATTCCCTCAGAAGCTGTCTGATTCATGGCAGACTTCCTCATCGGTTGCCCTCCATCGGTTTGGGACAATTCCCACCTTCCACATCACCAATGAAGAGGGTTGATAGGAATTATAGTGTGGCAACTTCTGGTGGGTACCAGGTTAAGGAGTTGGGCTTGTCTCCTCTTCCCTCCGTCCAACACATAGACATTCAAAGCGCTCAGCACTGAAGATCAGAAATTGCTGTGTTGCTGTGTTTTTTTAAAATAAGTTCCCTCCTCACTCCCACATCTTAAAGTCTGCTCATATAAATAAAAGTTATATGAGCTGAGCAGAGTCTTTGCATATTAAACTGATAATGCAGACACCCATCTGAAAAACATTATGTCAGAATAGAACATCGCCTTTTGCCATAAGGATTTACAAGCTGGAGATGGGAATCCTTCCTGTTCACAGATCTTTCCAATAAAATTTGTGCAGATTTTGCATTCCTATCCGGAGTTTTGATTCATAGAAGTTGAAACGTTCCCCAAATACATTGGCCAAAAAGATCTCAAAACAGGCAAGCACATCTAGAGTCCATGGTTTTAGGGAATCTGGAAGAAGCTGTGGCAAGCTTCAAGCTCTCGTATTTCATCTTTCCTCACCCAATTCTTTTATGCATGAGGGGAGTAAAATTTTCTTATTTCACTTTAAAAC